AAATGTTTGTTTGTTGTCTTTGCGTAGTATTTGATTCAAAGTTTTATATATCTGTTCTAGAGTTTCTTTAGGGAATGAAGCTTATTTATGGTTCATTTAATAAATATCAAAAATAATAATATTGAAGATTTGACTAAAGCTACAATTTTATAAATAAATAATATATGCAATGGATGAAAAATTTAAGGCTTAGAGTTAAGTATTGGTAAATTTATTATCTTATTATTGTGAAAACGCCATTTTTATATTTATATTATTTAAAATAGTGTTCAGTCGGTTTTTTCTGGGGGTTTTATAATTAAGTGCGCATCCCGCCACTTCAATCGCTCTCGGAATTTCCACCAATCTCAAAGTATTTCATTTGGACCGACGGTCTTGTCATGAAAAGCTGCTGGGAGGGCAGGCAAATATTGGTCTATACAATTCAGATGGGCGAAAGCGATAGGGGTGCATTAGCGAGCGGGGACACGTGCCGCGCGAGGGGCTGCCGGCACGTGTCACCTCTGCACGTCAATTAACGCATCGCTGCGATGTAAATAAAGAGAGAGAAAAGGGATGCTGCGGAAAAAAGCTCCAATATTCATGCAAATCGGATTTACGGCCTTAATTTGCATTTTTGATGGGGAAAGATGAAAAAATCTCGTTCATTTTCGCACCTGCAAGATTTATATATATTCTCGCCAAAGATAAAAAAAAATAAACAACACACTGATGAGATTCGCTCTGTCAATTACGGCGCCCTTGTTTTTCGTACGTTTTTTTTATTTCCTTTTCCGCTTTAATTTGACTCTGCTGATTCGACGTGCGACACGAGAGACGCTGAATAAATAAAATTTGTTTCGCGTCGCAAGCAGCGAGCGAGAGAGCAGATTGGCGTCATTTTTGCGCCGTTATTGCGGTCTGTACCAAAAGAGAGGGGGTGCATTCCGCAGGGCATCTGCCGCCCCTGCGCGCCGCGAATCAATGGCTCCTCGGGGAGGAACCGCAACTCCGCTTCTGTTTAATTTCGTGTCGCCGAATTAAAAAACGAAATTTTTCTTCTGCTTTCAACTTGAGTATAAAAATAATAAAATATAATTTGTGTGGAGGAAATTGGCCCAAGCGATTTCACGCCCCCTGCACCTCCCCCGTCATTCTTTCTTTTATATTTATTTTCCCTCCTTGTTGTTGTTGATGTTATTTTATTTTATTATTATAAGAGAAGACCGCACGGCGTTTTTTACATTGTGTGTTCTGTGTGGAGACGCGCGGGCCCCTTTGTTGCCGCGTTGGATCCAATTTGAGCGCCGGTAATCGGGTTTAAAAGACGTCCTGTGTAGAAAAAAATGGACAAAAAATTTATGTACATTTTTGTTGCTGACGCCCACGTGCATGCGTGAATGGGAGAACGAAATTAATCAAAATTTAATTTGGGCCGACAGCAAAAAAATCAATCCGGCTGTCAGGGTTTATTAATACATCGTCCGTATTATGCATAATAAAGTTAATAATCGTCTCGATAATAATTTTTGTACGTTTTGAAAGTTTCAAAAAAACTTTTTATTATATAAGATTTATTATATGAACTCAGCAAAATTCAACTACGCTTAAAGGTCAATAACCTAAACAGTTGGAATGGTGATCGTTTAGATTCGCATTTACTAACTTGAAAAATGCTTGTACATGTTGTCCTTACACTGTTTGACTTTTTTGCCGAACAAACATAAAAAGATCAGTGTGATAAAGCAGCTGTAAAAAATGTCAGGGGAGAGAAAAATAAAAAAATTAAATGAAAAAAATTGTCACCGTGTCCTGAAAAATTTTCAGAAAAAGCTCTATTATATATTTATATACATAAATCGAAATTTAAATAACTATGGTATTGCTCTTGTGCCAAGAGGAAATATTAAATTTTTGTTTCATAGAAAAACTCCCGCCCCACATGTTTCGGCTGCATTAACAATTTAATGCTCTATTCATTTTTTACAATAATTCTAGAATGGATTTTGTTGATTATTGATAAAACGAACAGGCTTGTAATTACATAACCCTAAAATGTAAAATCAAAAATTACAATAATTTTTCTTAAAAATATATATTATAGATTATGTTGTTCTGAAAATTTAATATCAGACATGCAACTTCTGAAAATATCGTGCATCATATGCATAATTGAACATCAGCTTTTATTTGTAAAGCTTTAAAAAAAGTAATTATACATACCAATTTTGCCCAAAAAAACATGCACAAATTATGATTTGTTTTAAATACACATTAAACAAATAAAAAGAAGAAAAGAGAAGTAGAATTTTAATTTAAACATTTATAAAAAATTAAAAAATAGTCTTAAATTAAAAAAAAAATGAATAAAAGTTTATTGTTTTTTAAAATTCGATAATAATTTGTCATTTAAATGCAGTACGTATTAATTATATGATCTGAAACTGAACAGATTTAGCCACAAATTTGGTTGCTGTTAAAATTTATGCAGAAATAGTCAGGAATAGCAAATCACGCCCATAAATTTCAGATGCAGACTCAAGGGGTTGCAGGCTGGTGTTTCTGCGATTAAAAACGGGGGGTGTTTTATTTTTCGCTGCTTTTGTGGCGAAGAGTAGCACTTCTCTTGCAGAAGGCGGCGGCCGGAGTTTAATCGAATTGCGGCGGTTAATTTATTTCGCCGCCTCCCGCAGGAATTTGCGCCGCCGCGCAGCTCAAATGAAAAGCGGCGCTTTCCTCCGAGGAGCGATAAATTTCGGCGCAAATTTATTTCCTCCCCGGCAAAAACCTTCCCTTCCGAGCTCGCTCTAGCAATTTCGAGTGCACGGTGAAATTTCAATTTTTAATTACCTGCTTCTTTTCTCCCTCCCTATTGAAATAAATTAAACAGCTGCTGATTTTTAATTCGGTAATATCGACAGCATGTTCTGCGCCCCAATGCACATCACAAAATCAAACGGCCGGCAAAAGCGCAATAAAAATCCAGAGCGAGGGACGGAATATAAAATAAAAGGGTCGCTTTGACCTGTGGTCTGTGGACCGATCTAGTCGACCGCCGCACCCTCGCATTTCCATGCTGCCCTTTAAGAAGAAGAAGAAAGTCGGATGGACAAAATAAAACGACTATTCGTCTTCATCTGATCTGGGAATTTATGTGTTTGATGGAAAAAGAGAAAAAGGGAAAAGGGACGGTTGAATAAAGTCGCAGTTTTCGAACTTGGCGGTTAAAGAGAGTCGATCATTGTTGGAGAGTGAAATATATTCACATAAAAAGGGGGCAAGCGATCGTTTTTATTGTTTTTATAGTGAAAGATATTTTTGGATTTTTCTTAAACAATTAATATTAGCGTAGATATTACTAATAAAACAATATAAAATTTGGAATGAACGCAAGCTATTGAATTTTTTATAATTATTTTGAAGCTTTAGCATCATTTTCAACAATGAAAGTTAATTTAAGTTTCTTGGTGGATATCATGTAAATTGAAAGTAAATCTGGTGCGTCTTTTCTGGCTATTTTTGAGTGTTCGGGCTAATTTTATTTGGTATTCATTCATCTTATCTCCCTATTATTCTTTTTCATTTTATTCAAATTTTATTATTCTGATTGTGAAAATGATTTAATTTTATTTTATTTACACTTGAAGATAAAACTAATTGTTCCATTTATTTTAATTTCATAATTAAACGTGCCGTTTTCTTTTTTTCTAGAGTGAATAATATTTATGAAATTCCCAATTATTTTACTTAAATTGAACAATGAAAACCCAGTAATTTTTTAAAATAGCCATTTCTGCACCATTGTATGTAATACAATTTTTCATAACATTTTCTGCAAATTTCAAATATTCCCCACATTTCTACTAGCACAAACTCAATTCAGCTGCTTTGCACCGAAGCGCGTCCAAATGATGGATTCGAATTTAATTCAGCAGCGCGTATAGAAAAAGTTGATGGAGGCGGCGAATGTAAATTAGTTTTCGGCTGCGTCTCTCGTCGTCGCCTTTAGTGCGCTCTGCTGCGTTCCGTGATTAAAACTGGCTCGGTGCAGCAGCAGCGGCGTAATTTCCGTTTCGCGAGGTGCTAATTCAATGTCTTTCAATTCCGAGATAGCCGGCGTGATGGATGAGCTTCTGTGCAACCCCGGCCGGCGACGATTTGCGCCCGAGTGCAGTGATTTATGGCGGATCAAAGTCAGTGCGGCGTGTGGACCGAAAGGAAGCTGCGAGATGGAAAATGTTTTGGCACAATGAAGTTGTCGCTCTCGGATCTCATTTACGCCCCGCTGCGAGTTTCAATTCTGGGCAAGCTCATTTTCCGAATTGAATTGCGGCTTGAAATCGAGGAGACGCGCGTGTCCGCGCCAGAGAGAGAAATAACCTCTCGCTGTGTAATTTTCGGGCCTAATTTGATGAGACAAATCAACTTGTGTGAGTGAGAGGAATGAATAAATGTGTGGTTCATTCTTGTGAGGAAAGAAAAAAATGATGATGATGATGATGAGGTGGAAAAGGGTCAACAACTGAATTAGAAAAGGATATGATGTACTATATAATGAAAGGGGATAAACAGCCGTGGAAAATCGACGCCCGTTATTATATTATTTTTATTGCTTATTTTCGATAGTTGTTTTCTTTATTCTTTAACTCGTCCATTCAGAGCTCCATTCATATGCACGTCATTTTCCGCTCTGACGCTTTCTGCAGAAGAAGGATCTTTTCTAAGAATTTTAATGACAAAAATAGGTGTTTTTTTTTCTTCAGTAGTTCCATTATGTTTTATTTAAGTATCAAGTTAAAAATAATATTAAATAATGTTGGTTTCTCTTGTACCTTTCATTATTCTATACCTGCTCAATATAATTTAATTCATGTTTGCTGCAAAAAAAAAAGAACCTGAAGAATAAAAAAAATATCATAGAGAAATTAAAAAGAAACTACAAGATTATTTCTGATTAAATGTTACTTTATTTTTAGAGGAAAATAAATTGAAATTTCATTACTTTTTAAGAGAAATAAGAGAGATGAGATTTTAAATTTAAATTAAAATTTACAATTTTGGCATTTATATTTACTCAAAAAAAGTTGTTTCTTCTCACTCAGCTTCATAATTCCAAGTTAAAATGCTCTTTAGATATCATTTATTGGTAAACATTTACAGCTGGAAGAAGATTAATAATTTACAGGTCTAAAAGCTTGCAGTTTTTCAAAAAAAAAAATGTGCAATTTACTAAAGGACTAAAATAACAAGGAAAAATTATAAATATTTAATTCCTTATTAATTTATTATGTGATTCAATATTATTTCAATGATAAGATTCACATATGAACCTATATGGAGTTGTACAAAAAGCATCATGCCAGCTGTATGGCATATTGTAGGCGAGCATGTATGCCAAACAGTTTTCATCACTTGTGCCGCCGTCGGGTTGCTTAAAACCCCAGTTTGTGTAAGGACCCAATAGGTGTCCAGTGCTGTCCCAATAGAATTGACGTTCTTTATAAAGGTCGTTCCCTGATGTCCAAAAAGAGAGCCAATATGGAACTATGCACATTAAGTTTCAATTAAGATAGATTTGGCAGAATACACATTATGAGGAATAAGGGTCAAGGAAAAACATACTAAGTTGCGAAATAATGAATTCGTCCTCAGCCTCTGACTCGACGCTCACCAGGAACATGCCTTTGTTCTTACAAGCATAATTCGCCATGTACCAATCGAGCTGTAGTTGATCAAAGGACAATAAGGAATTTTTAATAGTCATTAAGTATTAAAAATTAATCGCATATATTTGAATTAGTTTGCAAACACATTTTTGTAATTTGATAACTTTTCTATGATATTTATTTATTTATTTACTCTAAACATACTCACTTCGATGTCAGATAATTCATAAGTGCTGTTGCCAAAAGTAAACCTTGCGCTTACGCCATCTAGAAATATGAAAAGATCGAGATTTAAAAAAAAAAAATGAATCGGAATCTGTATACTTCTTACAATTAGCTGAACTGAATTGTTAATTGAATTTTTCGCCGTTCGAATTTGAATTAGGATTATATTTTGTATACCTTCTAATTCTAAACTGACAAAATAGATGACAAAAAATTGGATATTTTGCCTAAAATATTACCCATATTTGCAAGTCTATTAAACAGCAAAAATCTTAGTCTTGGGAGTGATTATTCACCTTTAGATGCTGTGCCGACATCAACCTTTTCACCGTGTGCAGAAATCTCCCTAGAATCAGATGTCCTGCAAAGGAGGAAACAAATCAAAGAAAAGAATAGTAAACGATTCATTATAGTTGAAATTTTCATACTGTCTCTCAAAATGCCAAGCGTCTCTTTTATACGCAGCGAATGTTCTTGATATTTCTCTTTTCATGCTAATTTTGATAAAAACCAAAAGTAGGCTACCTAGGATATCACAACAGCAAAATACTTAATAATGAATCGCCTAAAAAAAGTTGAGCCACTTGTTTACAAAACCTCTTGTGATTCACGCGAATTCCTTAAAACTCTAGTCTTATCACTACTGATTATCTATTCCTAAAAATCAAAACGCATTAATTTCGTCTTCTGTGTTTGGTGCTGACAAGTGATTAATTCCAAAGACTAAGAGACGTGCGGGCAGCGCAAGGTGCGAACAGTTATTAAGAAGAAAAATTTTGTATGACTCGGGGCAGAAAAATGACAAGAGAGCATCTGCTTTTTTAGAAGTGATAAAGAACGAAACTGCAGGTTCGGAGGTGCCGAGTGGCAATCATCATTTGTAACGCGCCAACAGGCCGTCATTAAACACACCCTTTGCGTCCACACGCATCCATTTTTGCGGCTAACGATCAGAGTGGAAACGCCGGCCGAAACGAGTTTCCAAAACTGTACACTTTTTTCAACTTTTTCATTTCCTCTCTCGCTCGAGAGAGAGAGAGAGAGAGAGAGATGATTATGATTATTGGTCGGGTCGAGAGCAGAGAGAAATTTTTCAGCAGTGTGTTTTTTTTTTATTTATTGCCTCTCTTTCTCATTGCTCGCTCACGTATATTACCGTCAGGGGGCGTTTTGACAGCCGAATGAAATAGTGCCCCCGCAATTTGGATAATCACCCGAAAAAAAGAAATAACAAGAGCCTAATTTTTCTCGTCGATGATCTGCCTGCACGCGCTCGAGCTTTTTCACCCGAAAACTATTTCTTTCTTCTGTAGAACAAAAAGAATTATTGAAGAAAGAGCGGAGGCTGCGAAAGTGGTGTGTAATTAGCCGCCAATAAGTCAAGTTTTATCGCGCCTGAGAAGAGCAGTAATGTGTTGCGAGGGGCTAATGGCCGCCGATTTGCACACCTCTCTCCACATGTCAGCGCCGACTTAAAATTAATCTCGCGAAACGTGCAATTCTAAATAGCCCATGAGAGTGATTTAACTTTAAATTTGCACAGGCGATTGTGCGCTATAATTGCTAGTAATCGATTTAAAAATAAAAAATCCTACTTGAATAATTCGGCAAAAAAAAAATACTTATAATTTATTGTGATTTTTTTTTTTTTTTAATTTTAAAGAAACTTTAATCAGTATCAATATGGCTAAAGGGAATAATTATCAAACTGTGGTTTATCTTCAGGTGGTTAGAAAATGCATACAAATCGCGGAAAAATTTATTTAAAGTGTGTAAAATATTTGTTATAATAGCGAACAAAAGGAGGATTGAATGTAAATAAAATTTTCAAATGAAGTACAATAAATTAAGCAAAAATCCTATGTCCAAAATTAATCCAATCCCGTAACCACAGCAAATACACCAGATAACCTCCTATTCAATTTTTCATTTTTTTTTTCAGTCGATCATGTGGGCCACCGAATTAAAAGAAACGCCGGCCAGCGAACAAAAAATACTTGATTTTTTTTTTGGATAAGTTAAAATTAAAGTGAAAAAAATCCGCCAGCACCATGACTTAAAGAGCACAGGCGATTTTTTCTTACGTCTCGTTAGCCTAGAAAAAGTTTATAAAAATTAATTTGTAAGGAATTCTGGATACAAGTAAACTAAAGTAAGATTAAAGTGATTTTTTTATGTTATCGCTACCTTATAAGCTATATATGTACAGATTTCAATATCCTTCATTATTTGCAGTACTCAAGTACAAACAGATTTTATCTGCACACATATCTCTCACTAGCGAATTGTCTTTGAAATTACCGAACTTGATTAGATATTGATTTGCTGAGTACAAATCGCACTTAATACTTCTCATTGCTCTAATTTTTTTGTGATATGGACTTTTGACCAGTTTAGTTGGCATACGACCAGTTGCAAGATTCTGAATAGCAGATCAAGATGCGATCAAATGTGATTTGTATTTTTCTATTTATGGGGCTTGCAGCCGCTTTTCCTGCCACAGGTGATATTAATAAGTTAAATTAAAAATTTTGCAAAAAAAATCTCATTAATTTCAGGGGAAATTCAAACATTTAATTTCAAAGCCAGCTCTTACTTTATCCCAAATGAAATGGTGAAAATTTAATTTTTTATTGATTTATGATTTGAAAAAGAAATAATAATTACATTGACAAAAGCTCGACTGGTACCAGTCTGGACACGCATGTAAAGCAGTTGGTTTTGAATTAGTGAGTGTCGAGACGCAAGAGGAGGACGAATTTATTCTTTCAATCATACGTATATTTTATTTTTTTATTATTTGACGTAGTAAAAGTTTTTGTTGTCTCAACTATTAACAGGTCCATTTAATGAAAGTTTCTGGACTTCTGGCAACGACCTGTACAAAGAGGGAGAATTTTACTGGGAGTCAACAGGTCAGCTGATGGGCCCGTACTTTAACTGGGTCGGACCACCAAACCTGGGCGACGGTCAGCGCTGCGTCAGGTACCAGCTGCAATACGACCTTCTCTGGGACAACGAATCTTGTCAGTACTTATCCCGAATCGTTTGTGAAAAGGCTTCATAATATAATTTGAAGTCTACAATAAAGCTCCAATCAAATTTAAGTTTATCTTTCCAATGAGAGTTGTATTTTGATGAGGAATTTACTGCGTAATTTGATGAGTTTAAGTTGTTTTTTAAGCTTTTTCCGATGGTTATCTAATCATTTATCAATGAATAATATATTAATAATTATTGAATTTGATTATATATTTCCATAAAATATTCAGCAAAATTCATGGATTTATATATAATTTTATGATAAATACACACTGTTATCAGTTAATTTGACTTATAATTTTAGCACTCATGCCCTTAATTCTCCAAGAGACAAGAACGTCATTATTTCATATTTCACAGCAGATTTTCAAAAACATTTAAAAGCAACCATTAAAAAAATTATATTTATACTAACTTTAAGAACGACAAGCAAGTTATTCACTGCAAGATAAAAAATCTAATAATATTCGCAAAAATGTATAGTGCACAAGTGTTCTTGATATTGCTTATCTCTCGACAGTTCTGAGACTGCTGGAATGAGGGCATTTTGTTCTTTGAAATGGACTTTGGTGTTAAAAGTGGCAATTAGATTGCGTTGCGAGAAAAGATGAAGCGCATCTGCTGGTTGCGCGGCGTGTTTGTGAGTGAGAGAGGCCTCTAATTTGAGCGCATCCGTCACACCTTTCGCTCGATTGTCCGCCGCTCGCACGTTGACGAGTTAATCATGTTTCGCCCCGGCCCATTTTCGCGCCCCCTGCCCGCTAAATAACAATTATTATATCATGCCCTGGCCAACTAGCAGGGCCCAATTTGGCCTCGTTTGAGCGCCGCATCTGCTTTTCTTAATTCAGCATATAGGGGAGAGCCGCACATTCTCATTTCACCTTTTATTGTTATTATTTTGTGAACTGACGAGACGCGACCAACCGAAATTGATACGCTCCGGTCGCGGGCAATCAAATTATTATAAAAAATAAAAAAAATAACATACCACTCTCCTGCTTACGCACTTTTGTATTACTTCCGCATTTGATGGTATAGAAACCAAAAGAAATATAAATTGAACCACAGCCCCTGTGCTTTTTCATATATTCAAAACCTATCTATGCTATAATATGTAAACAGACTAATACAAAATTGGAGCATTTCAGATATAATAAAATTTATCGGTCTTTTTCATTTCAATATAAAAAAATGAAGTGGTTATGTAATTCCTCACTCATTATTTTCTACATAAAGCCAAATTACAAAAATGTTTGTCAACGGTTTAGTTCATGCTGCTTTATTAATTAAATGTTTGGAAAGCTGATGATATTTATTACGGATTATTTCGTAAAAATTAGATAATGTTCTCTTACATACAAACTTTTACCCCCAGAATGAATATTGTTTTTGCATTCATTTCCTTCCACTGAATTGAGATATGGAGACCAAATTCCCTAGAATTCTTTTTGTGTGTCTAGCCAAAGTTCTGAACCGTCAGTCTCATGATAAAATAGGGCTATTTTTTTGCTGCAATTTGGAATCTTAGCCATCAAATTTCATAGGCTTGAAATGTGGAACCACAAACACGCTCATATTCGGTCTTTTTCCTTCCTAAGATCGTTACATATTAAATATAATATACAAAAAAAAAGACAAATTTAACCCCCATTCCCCCCAACACCTTTGAACTAAATTGCAAAAAAACCTGTTCATCACTGAAGAAAGATAAAGAAAGGGAACATTTGAATATTTCTTTTTAAATAATGAAACTTCACTACTGAACTAAATTATTTCTTAACTTAAACAAAATATTTTGATCTTTTTTTTAAATTACCACAAATTTGATGCAAAAATAGAAGTAAATTGCGAAATGAGTTTGATGGAATTGTATTTAATTAAATATGGAAATTGATCTTCGGGAACCGCCTGCACTTTCTCTATCGTCGTCCCTTGTTGTCCCTTTTTGAGCGTTGGCTGGTGTGGTGTCGCGCGGCGGGGCAAAGGGGTGGTGTTGGCTGTTGGAGCGCGCGCGTGACGCCAATGCCAAACAAGCCATAAATAAAGCAATTGCGCGCGGCTGATCAGCGTTTCCGAACACGCCCGGCCGACGACGCGCCAACGGAACGACGCTTCTGCTCTCGCGCGCGTATAAATTTTCATTAGGCGGCGCTTCCCGTGGAATATTGAATAAGCCGCACCGCCGACGACCCACAGCGCGCACTGAATCTTCTTTTGAATTAAATAATCTCTTTTATTGGCGTCGAGCACGCGAAAGAGAGAGACGTCGATGCCACGATAACGGCTGAGAAAGGCGCGCCCGGCCGCCAACAGATAACTTGCCAATTCGACACCTGCTCGCGTTGCTCGCTCGATTCGCGCCAACCTTACTATTAGCTACGTGCGTCGGTCGATACTTAACCGCACCAACTTGCCAACTCCTGATTGTGCGAGAGAGAGAAGCAGTGACACCCTCATTAGTGCCCCCCGACACTCACAGCACTGAAAGACAACCGACAGTCATATGGGATGGAGAAGTTTTCATTGATTTATAATATTTCTATATTTCACGCAATTTTATTAATTGATAACAAAACTTTAAAACTAAATTATTGGGGAAAAGTTTTTTAGTCACTTTATTAGGTTTATTGATTTCTTGTGATCTTACAGTCCTTCCTTATTCAAAAATTAAAGACCACTTTTTTAATATCTCCAAGGGAACAGGACTTTTGGAAATATTAGGACTTTCCCTTTTAATTTCAGGATTATAATTATGGTCGTATTTTTTTTTAATCTCTGGAATATTTTGTGACTTTATTATGAAGTCAGTCATCACGCTTCACTTTCATTTTCAGTCACCTTCCTGAACGTATCAAAAACATAAATAGCTACCAAGTGTTTACGAATTAAGGAAATGGATTGGGATTTCAGGAAGAAATCAATTTAAAGATCTCTAGTTTTGCAAGAAATAACTTGCAGCGTTTTGTGGCATTGCAAAATTCCATTGAAGTAAAAAATTTAATGTTATTGTGTAATTTAATTGTTTTTTTTATGTATTTTGTATTTATATATTTTTTTTGTTTACATTAATCATGATTCCAATATTACTCTTGCGCAGCTCTTGTGTAGTTTTCGATTTAAGAAAAGATCAAATGTTATGCAACCGGTATCAACACTCGTACCACAACGGTTGCATACTTACAATCCCACCACCAATTGAAGACAAACGGAGAGGAAAGTTGAAAGGCCAAACTAAAAAGCAGCCTATTGATTTTTCTTTCTACAAACTTTCGGAAATCGCATATTCCGTTTGGCTTTTTTTTCCTTTCGACGTGGAAATTTTCACTCTCGCAATCGATAAAAAGGGGCTGAGACAAAAGTTTGAGTGGAAAATCTTGGTAGTGGAGCTGGCGTTATTTTGCAATTTGGTGCAAAAGTGGCGGGGTGGCGCGGCGTTTTCTTAAATATTGAAAAGCGGCATGCGCTGCTCTGGTGGCGCGCTGGTAATAAGTGAATGTAGTGAATAAAAAATGACGAGGGCGAGCGGCATATTGGCGCAAATCAGGCCATACGTATGCGCAGCGCGCTTTTTCGTCGCCCCGCAAAATCCACTTTTTATCGCGCGCACACCACATTATTACGCGCCCTTCTTCTTCTTCTCTGTGCCGAGAAAGGAGCAGCCGGGGGAGGAGGGAATATAATAAATTAGCGGGCGACAAAATCCCATTCCGGCCGCACCAAAATTGCCTCATTCGCCGGTGATTTGTTTCTTCTCCGCCGCGGAGCAGAGAAAGCTCAAAAGCGCCCTCTTCTCCTTTCTTTCGTCCTCCTTTTTTATTGGCCTTTTTCCCCCCAGTGGCAAAATGAAAAGAGACGAATCGGGCAGCCAATGTTTGCGAATCGGCTTTTCAATTTGTGCTGACCAAACAAACACGCTCTCGATTTGCAGTAAAATGGACAACACAAACCTACACCTTTCGTATTCTTTCTCTCAAAACACCAAATCATCTCCCCTCAAAAGTGGTGTGATGCTGATGACGCCGCGATCTGGGAAACGAGAAAAACACAAATTGCTTATTGCAAACCGACAAACTGAGCTCCCATTTGAGGTGATGGTCACAATATATAACTCTCCTGTTTTGCTTAAATTACTTGCTGGCGATTGCTGGATTCTTGTTAGTGCACAACTAGAGAAATAATGCACAATAGAAAGATGAAAAAGCAAGCATAAAATGTTATTATTTATATTATATAAAAAATTACTTAAATTTCATCACCAAGCTGATATCGCACTTTATTTGCGAAATTTGAAATGCATTTCTTCTATGAATGTGATCATAGCATAAGATTGTTATAATTAATCATTTATGATTATGTAAAAAACTCTTTCAATTAGTATAATTTTACTTGAAATAATCCGTTTTACTTGATCATATTGCAAATCAAGCCACCATGCTTATTGATGCGTGTAAGATGGAGGCTTATAGAATTGAATTAAAAGTTAATTGTTTAACGATCACAATAATGTATTCTGCAATATTTATAAATGTCATGTAAGAATCATTTTGCAATGAAATTTAAAAAATATTATGGTTTTGACTAACAGTTACAATGTTTTTAATAATTTTGCATTATCAAAGCTGGATTATTTGCAGATAAATCCTCAAACATAAAAGCAGCTTGTCATTTTGTTTTTGCTTCTTTATTGCATCAATAATAAAAATTTCACTTTCATTAAGCCTATAACTAATGTTTTCTCTTATTAAATTATAAATAACATTGAACATTTTTTCCCATTATTTTGTGAATAATTGGTCAGAAACATATTATAATTTATAATTACAATATCGCAATTGTATTCTTTTCAGTGGTTTGCTTAATTTTTTTTGCGCTCCTCCACCACCGAACGTAAAAATCTGTTTTTCGCCCCCAGTATATGTATGTGTCTGTATAGAGTGTATGTCACCCTCGTTAATTACAATTTATTCGGGCGTTTGTTGCGCGATAATCTCGGCAAAAAGTGGCCTTGTTTGTAGAACGGGAGCTTTTCGAGTGCTCCCCGGGGAAAATGGAGCCAGGCTGTGCGTCGGCGTTTCCCTTTTCGCTCTTTTTGCAATCACGCTTTATCTTGGTGCGGGCCCGCGAGAGAGTGAATGAATCATTTGCGGCGGCCGAGATTGATTCGAGAGCGCGTAATGAGAGAGCGGCCGGATGATGATCGCCAACCATGAGCTCGCGCCAAACGGCACCGACGTTAAAATTAATCTCGCTTTATGGCTCCTCAGGGAGGGCGCGCGGAACGA